ATGTGTATTTTTTCCCAAAAATTTGTGTTTTAAAACTTGCTGCACAAATACTGTGTGAAATAAAAAATTTCAACACCCACCATTTTATTCACTAGGGCCTCTGCTTTAAAAAAAATATATATAATGTTTGAGGGTTCAATGTAATTTTCTAGCAAAAGAAACTAGTTTTTTATGTAAACAAAAAGTGTCAGAAAAGGTTTGGTCTAAAAATGGTTAGGAAAGTGGGTGGTGTGTGACATAAGCTTCTAATTTTGGCCCTGAAATGCCAGGATAGCAGAAACACCCACCAAATGACCCCTTTTTGGAAAGCAGACACTCCAAGGTATTTGATAAGGGGCATGTAGAGTATTTTGAAGATCTCATTTGTTGCCACAAGTTTTTGGAAAAGGAAGAAAGAAAATGAAAATGTATTTTTTCTTTTTCAAAACCCTATACAAAAATTATATCTGCAAAATACTCACAATGTCTCATCAAATTCCTTGGGTTGTCTACTTTCCAAAAAGGAGTCATTGGGGGGGGGGGGTGTTTGTACTATCCTGGCATTTTAGGGCCTCCGAAACTGTGATAGGTAGTGAGTAAGTGATATGAGCAAATATTCCCTTTGAAAGCCTGGAGCTGGTCACTGGATTTTGGGGGCCTGTATGTGGCTAGGCTGCTAAATAGTCTCTCACATGTGACATCCCCAAACTCGGGAGGAGTAGCAGAATGTGTTTTGGGGTGTTATTCTACATATACCTATGGCATGCGCAAGAAATATATCATTCAAGTAACAACACTATGTAAAAAAAAAGCGTAATTTTCCAAAAATTTGTGGCAAAAAATAAAATGATCCATGGACTCAACAAGCCTCTGCAAATTACTTGTGGTGTCTACATTCCAAAAAGAAATCATTTGGGCTTTTTGCACTGCCCTGGCATTTTAGCATCTCAAAAAATGTGACAGGCAGCCAGAAAGTAAAAGCTGCATAAATTGCAATATATATATATATATATATATATATATATATATATATAGATACACACACACACACACCATAGTTTGTAGACGCTATAACTTTCACACAAACCAATTAACATATTGGGATTTCTTTTCACCAAACACATGTAGCAGAATAAATGACTAACCTTGAGGTTACTATATACTTTTTATAACCGAAAGTAACAAATATAGTTTTTTTTTTTCAAAATTATCAGTTTTTTTTTTTCCGTTTATATCTCACATCATAAAAAAAACCCAGTGGTGATCAAATACCATCAAAAGAAAGCTCTATGTGTGTGAAAAAAGGACATCAATTTTGTTTGGGTACAACACTGCATGACCACGCAATTACCAGTTGAAATAGCGCAGTGTCGAATAGCCAAAAATGGCCTGGTCATTAAGGGAGGTAAATCTTCCGGAGGGCAAGTGGATATGATGATTACTACTGTGCTGAAGACTGTTTAGGTCTTAATTGGTAAATACCACTTTGTATTTAAGCTTTCACTATTTCCTATGGGGATTTGCTGATTCTCTTGACCACGTATCTTTGTTTGCCCCCTCATATGTCTGTATTGGCTTAAATTCGAACTGTCTATATTTTTCGGTACCACATGGAACTGTCTTTGTATTGTTCTTTGAAACTCAATAAATCAGTTTTTGTTAGAAAAAAAATATTCATACTAGACCCTCATGAAATACGGTCTGCTATGAATATAGCAGGAAATTCTGTGTCAAAAATTAAAAGCTATATAGAGTTCCTCTTTAAAATCATAACAGACCCTTATCAACTAATAGAGTCTTATATGAATATAAAGGGAAACTCAGTCACAAAACTAAACTATCCATACCAGACCCTCATCTGGGGTTAATGTCTGCTATGATTATAAAGGGTAACTCGGCTGCAAAACTAAAGTATGGTGTTCTCCCCCAATATTCATACCATACCCTCATCCAGGATTAGGGTCAGCTATAATTCTAAAAGTCGATTGGGGTTCCTCTTTAATATCCTAACCCTCATCCAGGATTAATATCTGCTGTGATTTCAAAGGGTAAATCCACTGCAAAACTAAAATGCGGTGTCTCCCTTTAATGTCCATACCAGATCTTCACCCGGAAATAATGTTTACTGTGATTATAATGAGAAACTATGTGGCAAATCTAAAGTGTAGGGTTCTCCCCCAATATCTATAACATACCCTCATCCAGTATTTTGGTTTGATTTGAATATAAAGAGTAACAAAAATAAAATGTGATCTTCCCCTTTAATATCCACACCACAGCCCCATACAGGATTAGGGTTTGTTATAGAAGGGAACTGTGTCAAAAAATTAAAAGCCAGTGGAGTTCCCCTTAGTGGCACAGCGCAATGAAAATTCTGGACCGAAATTGAAACTTTAGGATGCACTTGGCTGAAAACTGAAACCGAAATGGACAATTTTTAACACAGTTGTATTATATTTGCCTTTTTAACCATTTGCCCTCCAGAAGATTTACCCCCCTTCCTGACCAGGCCATTTTTTGCGTTACAGTGCTGTGTTATTTAACTCACAATTGGTCATGCAACACTGCATCCAAATTAAATTTATGTTCTTTTTTTCCACACAAATAGGACTTTCCTTCGGTGTGGTATTTCATCGCTGGTGCGGTTTTTATTTTTTGCGCTATAAAAAAATGGCTGAAAATTTTGAGAAAAAAAACAATATTTTGGACTTTTTGCTATTAAACATGTCCAGTAAAAAAATTGTAAAAATCAAATTGTCAGAAATTTAGACCAGAATGTATTCTGCTATATGCCTTTGCTAAAAAAAAAAAGTCCCAATACATGTAAATTAATTGGTTTACATGAAAGTTATAGCATTTACAAACGGCGGTATAGATACTGGGATTTTTTGTTCTATTAGTAATGTCGCCTATCAGCGACTTATAGCGGGACTGCGGCGGGCATTCTGACACTGGGGGGAACCGACTTGGTGTCACTGACATCCCCAGTGACACCAATACAGTGATCAGTGCTATTTAAAAGCACTGACACTGTACTAATGGCACTGGGCAGAGAGGGGTTATGCACAGCCATGCAAAGCAGTGTGCAGGAGCTGACGGGAAAGAACTGTTTTGTTTACAAACAGTTCTCCCCCTTATCGGAGATGCTCGGCAATCACCGGGCGCCAGCAAGTAATCACCGGTCCGGACCCGGTGATTGACAGCTGAAGCCGCGAATAGCGGCGCGGGTAGGGCTTGTGCGTACCCCCTACCCGGAAATTCAAAATCACGTGTGTGTATATATGTGATGTTGTGCACCCGTGCCGCCATGTCGCAGTACTTCTGCTATAGCGCGGACAGGAAGCAGTTAATTAATCTCATGAATTTAAATTAATATGAATTTAACAAATACAATCCTGTAACTTAAAATAACTTTTATGGAAAGTAACACAAACATTGGAAAATAAAATTAAATATATATAAAATTAAAAAACTTAAATAGAGGATTTTTTTGCATTTAAGTCACTGGGATGCCAATTAACACAAAAGTTGGACAGAAAATAAAATTAAATATATATATAAAATTTAAAAAGTAGTTTTTGCAGTGAAGTCAATGGAACATGATTGTCCAATTAAATCAATAGGGGGTGTTTTTGCATTGAAGTCAATGGGACGCGATTTTGCAATGAAGTCAATATTATCGACACTTTTTTTTCTATCAGCAAAACATTGATAACCCTATTTTCGGCCAATACATTGGTCCATTACTAGTCCTCTTTATTAACCCAACCCTCATGCAGGATTAATATCTGCTATAATTCTGAAGGGTAACTGCTACAAAAGTGTGGTGTTCTTTAATATTCACACCAGATCCTTACCCAGCATTAGTGTCTCATATAAATATAAAGGGGAGCTCTGCAGTTTACAAAAAAAATTGATGGATTCTGCCTTAATTTTCATACCTGACCATTATCTAGGATTATGGTCTGCTATGATTATTAAGAGAATAAATAATAAAAAACTGTGTGGGGTTCCCCTTTAATATCATACCACATCCTCATCCAGGAATATTGTCTGATATGAATATAAAGGGTAATTCTGCCACAACAATAAAGTGTTGGGTTCCTCTTTAATATCCATACCAGGCCCTCAAGCAGAATTGGGGTCCGCTATAATCATAAAGGGCAACTCTCCAGCTGCTTTCAATCACAGCCGCTGAGGATGTTGCTGGGGTGGGGCTGAGCTGTGCTCTGTGTATCTTATGGACACACAGAGAAGACTCAAGAGCAAACATGCATGAGTGCCCTCAGAGCAAGCGATTTGTTAGGGTGCGGGAAAGGAGAGGATGTTCTGTGCAACACCATTACACAAAGCAGCTACGTATGACGTAAGAATGGTACGTACGTATCATTTTGTGACTTCCTTAAAGCACTCCCACTTTCTGCGTGATCCCTTCCTGCTGTACAGTACACAGAGAAATGGATTGTGCGCGGTAATACCAGAATTCCAATCCTCCCCTTTCACCACCCACATAATGGCATAGAAACGCCCACAGTAACCTGAAGACCCACCTACTACACCACAACTGGTACAAGTGACTCCCATTGCCCGCCCTGAAACTACAGAGGTTCAAAGGATCATGGGGAATGTAGTATCAGGACTGGCAAAAAAAGGAGGCAGGAAGTCATATCACTTTGAGATTCATCCAGGAGGAAGTGACATCACAGGCACAGCATATAGATGTAAACAGCTAAAGGTGGTATATAAACTGACAGTATGGCTGTGATTCATTCACATACATAATGCATCTTTTGCTTTGGAAAAGTTGGAGATCATCTTTCAAGTTTTTGAGTTCAAGTACACTCTAAGTTTGTTACCTTGAGACAACGGCACCCTGACGGCAACTACTGCGCCAATCCCCAAGTGCTGCTATGTAGGAGACTACATTTAACAATATTTTAATATACACAACTGGATTTTTATTGTATATCTTGCCTGGAGTTCATTTTTAACATAACTTTTCGAGCGCATGTCTTACTTACCTGTATAATGACAAGGGTTAATTGACATTGTAATAGAAATAGGAAGCATTTCCTTATACCATATGTAGCGTGGCGAGCCTGGAAGACAAACCACCAAACATTTAAGTATAAACAGTAATGCACAATTCCCACATATACAATAAGTTTGGGACATTAAATATGACCTGCTGTGCAACTGAGTGATTTGATTCAACCCATTATTGGCTACTTCTAAACTCCAGGTTGGTGGCACTGCCCAATGGGGCACTAAACATAAAGTAGGCTGTGAGCAGGAATATATTACCCTGCATGATACCACCCTATTATTACTCTGTCTAGTGCCATCCCATTCACCAATACTTTACACTCTCCACCTTGGGGAGATCAGAAGACAAACTGGCAGGATCACTGCAGGAAGGTTCTGCCCAGAAGATTTCACAATGTAAAAAGCAAGTGAGACACAAGGCATACACGTTTATTTTGTATGAAAGACCAGTTACTGTATATAGATTAATAACAAAATACATGACATACTGTAAATGATTTAAGAATTAATCATCAAGCAAAATTGTATGTAACTGCAGTAGAAAAATGTATCTGCCTACATATTTTGAAAGAAGGACAGCTCAGGTAGCTAAGCATTACTGAGAGCATAATCATGAAAACAGAGGGGCGAGACCCTAAATGATTTTACGAGGACAAAAAAATGGGATTAACTTACCAATAAAATATTTACTTTGGAATACAGTACATCAGATTCTTAAGCCAGCCATACACTGTCAGGTTGCTTTTTGCTCGGTTAGTAAGCCGAACAAAAGGAAAAAAAAAACTAGCACTATTTTTCCATCTACACAAACAAGATATCAGTGTATGGGCAGCATTAGTCTTCACCATTGGAATATGCTGCTACCTTCAAGTAATTGGATACTAAAAAAAACAACAAAAAAAAATGCTGGGATATCCTCCATATAACCCCTCCCACCCCCAGAAAGCCTAAGTTTAGTAGCAAGCAATAGGGCGATCATAAGAACAGAGGGCAGGGACCCATGTCCTGTACAACTTGTACTGGTTACCCAAAAAAATCCCATTTTCTTAATCATGCAGTGCAGGACACAGAAGTCTAACTATGCGACATCCAAAAGAAGTCCAACTGAGGGGTGGGCAAAACTGCAATCAAAAACACCAACAGGCCCACATGTCAATAATTTAGAGAAGGGCTCAACAGAACTCAAAGCGCAACCTGGAGCACCAAACATCTGAAACTGGCCTCAATGAGTCGGACAAATTAAAAGGGAGTAGCAGCTGAGAGATAAACTTATATTGTGGGTACCACAGCAAAAGAATGGAAATAAACTTTCCACAGCATTTACAGGAACAGAACAGAGAAAAGTCAAAACACTTTCCTAGCTAAGGAAAATACAGAAGAAAACATCTTAAGAAAAAAGAAGCCATGGCTTCTCACAACCTTGTCCATGATGAAGATAAGAAGGGCTGCTTACCATTGAATATCTAGAACCCACCGAGCAGAAGCTGGGTAGTAAAGAAGGCAATCACGGTAATAAGGCTAGCCAGGAAAACAGATATTATACCTGTTAACTCACCTTCAAGGATGGCTTAGCAGAGAGAGACTCCTCCCACCTAGCACAGGAAACACACTCAGCTCCAGATGATCCACATTGGCTCACAACTGATATGATCCAAAAATATTTAGACAGAATAAAGGTGAATAAAGCATCTGGACCGGATGGCATACACCCATGGGTCCTTAAAGAATGCAGCTCTGTCATTTCAAAGCCATTGTTTCTAATTTTTAGGGACTCTTTAATGACTAGCATAGTACCACTGGATTGGCGTAAGGCCAATGTGGTGCCAATATTTAAAAAGGGATCAACATCTTTAGCAAGTAATTACAGACTTGTTAGTTTAACTTCTATAGTTGGGAAGATACTGAAGAGTTTAATAAAAAGACCACATAGATGAGTTCTTGCTGTCAAAAAAATATTTTAAGCAACAGATAGCATGGATTCATAAAAGACAGAAGCTGTCAAAAAAATCTGATTTCTTTTTCTGAGGAGGTGAGCAAAACCTTGGACAGAGGGGTGGCGGTGGATGTGGTATACTTGGATTTTGCAAAAGCGTTTGACACAATTCCCCACACAAGGCTAATGTGTAAGGTAAAGTCTTCGGGTTTAGAAAAATCCGAATGCAAATGGATAGAAAACTGGCTAAAAGATCGTATTCAAAGAGTAGTGGTTGATGATTCATACTCTGAATGGTCTAGAGTTGTCAGTGGTGTTCCCCAAGGTTCAGTGTTGGGACCCTTACTTTTTAATATATTTATAAACAATATAGGGTCTGGGATTAAAAATACTATTTCAGTCTTTGTAGATGACACCAAGCTGTGCAGTGAAATACCGTCCTTACAGGATGTCTTCAACTTACAAGCTGACCTCAATGAACTGTTTAATTGGGCAACTATGTAGAAAATGAGGTTTAATGTTGATAAATGTAAGGTTATGCACTTGGGGGCTAAGAATATGCATGCATCATACATACTAGGGGAAGCACAACTGGGGGGATCAATGGTGGAGAAGGATCTGGGAGTTCTGGTAGATCACAAGCTTAACAATGGCATGCAATGCCAAGCTGCGGTTTCTAAAGCGAGCAGAATCCTCTCTTGTATTAAAAGAGGTATAGACTCCAGAGAGAGAGATATACTTTTTACCCCTGTACAAATGATTAGTAACACCTCATCTGGAATATGCAGTTCAGTTTTGGGCACCAAGTCACAAAAGAGAACATTGAGGAACTGGAGAAAGTACAGAGAAGGGCAACCAAACAAACTAAACTGATACGAGGCATGGAGGGTATCAGCTATGAGGAAAGATTAGAGGAACTGAATTGGTTCTCTCTTGAGAAGAGGAGATTAATGGGGGATATGGTCAACATGTATAAATACATCAGTGGTTCATATAGTGAACTCGGTGTAGAACCTGAGTGGACTGTCCACTATTAGATTTGTAATTATATAAGACAGATCCACTAAGCTTGGGAGAGCACATTCCCCCTTTAAAAAAAGTTCTTTTAGCATTTAGATTGCTATCGATTACCCCTTTTTTATAAATCGTATCTAGAGTACAGCTTACAGTATGTAACATCCCTTATTCTGGGATAATTGGTCTGAGTGGCTTGTCTCCTTTAAGACCAATTTTGATTTACATCAGGCAGTTTAGTAAAGCTTGGGAGAGTATATTCCCCCTTTAATTAGTTTTTCCAGCATAGAGATTGACACAGAACAGTTTTTAAACTGTATGTTGAATATAGCTCAAAGTATGCAAACCTGACAATTTATGACTCCCTTTGGGAATATACTGTGTTGGTTTACATCTTATTAATATTCCGTTAAAAGATTTGGGCATTATTGGTAAAGCGTGGGTTTTTTTTTTTTTCCCTTTAAGAACCCCATTGCTGTATTTTATGCACTAAATTTACTTTACGATTTAATTTAAAGTTTTGTTTACTAGCCCAAGCATATCCGGCATATGTACACTGTATTCAGCAAAGTTGCAGGTAATTATAGATAGATTCGGGCAAGTAATTAAATGACACAGCTACAGCAAGTAATTTAATCACTGCTGTGTATAAATAACATCTCCAAAATGGCAGATCTTGCACTTCCTGATGATGATCCATTGATCGAAACCGGTCGAGGTTTGATGACGCAACTGCTGCTGATGTCATTTCTGCCCTTTGGAACGCACGCTGGAACGCTGTCGCCATCTTGGTTCCTATTCACAGGCAGCAAGGCTGAATACACTGAGTGCCAGGTTATGGGCACTTTGCTTGTGAGTTTTATTCTTATAATCTCTCCCCATCATTAAAGTTTTTTTATGCTTTTACACTATGGGATGTTTGCTTTTGTTTCTGTTCACATGTTGAAACTTGGTTTAGTGCCTGGGAGGAGAGCAGAAAGTTTACAAAAAGTTTGAAATTACACTGTGATTTATATCCACGCTGGTCATAATCCTATTGGTTACTATCAGCCAGATCGCATGATTCCCATTCTTGCCATCACGTAGTGGGCTAGTCCCAAACCAGGCACTTAAGACCAACCTAGAGATAGGTGGACCACGGCTAACTGTGAGTGCACATCCATGTGGGGCACTGATTGAGCACAAAGGAGCACCTGTCATTTTTGCACGTAGTTCAACAATTAGTATTCAACACCTGGTCACTTTATTTTTCTGAATTGGGACTGAATGTTACAACAATTTTTGTTGTTTCTTGCTGTTTATTATCATATATCTCATAATCAGCTGGCTTTTCTTTTCTTTTTTGACCAGTATTGATAAAAATTCTTTGCAGTACAGTAAATTATTTATTTATACCCCATCAATTTGTGATTGGGATATATTTTTCTATTATTTCCTTCATATGATATTGTTAATGTATAGTACTTTATTAAACTACCATTGGCTATTACTGTTAATGTCCCAGGCAGGCAGGTTGGTTTTTTCCTCCTTTAGCCCTGCTGCGGGCAAGCAGCGTGCTCACCTGTCAGGTGAAGCAATTGGAAGCAGCGCTGCCGCCGACTGCTTTCACACAGAGCCAGCCTCTCCACGCCCCTGCCGTGAGGTTTCCTGGGCTCTGCTTGCCCATCTGTGGGCCCGGCTCGCCGTTGACTAGAGGGGAGGGAGAAGAGTGAACAAGTCCGCTCCCCTTCCCTTCTTGTGCTGACCCGGAAGTGACGTTACGATGAGAGATTGCAATACAATCCCCGGGAAAGAATGTAATATGGTGCAATGTGTACCACATTACACTCATTGAAGCAGAGGGGAGACATACAGGGTCTATCCCCTATGTGATGAAAAAAAAAAAAAAAAATATTGAGGCCCCCACCTCCACATACATGCACGTACAAACGTAAAACCAAACGCTGGGGCGCCTACGCATACAACCGTCCATTGCGATACTCATGTCACATATTGCCGCGCACGCCAGGATGAGAGCGATAATTCTAGCACCAGATCTCCTCCTTACACTATACTGGTGATCTATAAGGAGCTTTAAAAATGTTGACCTATAGAAAATATTGGGTA